CTTCCCCTGGGAAGCCGGCCCAGCGGGAGGGGGGGGGGGGGGGGACTGGTGCCGGGCCTGGTTGGTTTGCCGGAGGCCCGAGGGGGGCCGAGGCGCACCGGGAAAGGGTAGGTTGTAGGGCCTGGCAGAGGCCGCCCTGGGGACGCGGGGGAGGGCCGGGCGCCAGGTCTCGGGGTGCTGGTTCTCGTGACGCCGCCGAGTTGCCTGGGGGATCGCCAGCAGCGCGCGGTCGGAGCCAGCCCGTGGCGGGGCGGGCAGAGGCTGTGTTTGCTCAACCCTGAGCGCTCGTGAGGGGGAGGAGAGGCAGCTGGTCACGGGCAAAGGGGCAGCCAGGTGGGGGCGGGCAGAGAAAGGGGAGGATACCACCCACCGGGGCTGTTTGTTTGCCTGCCTCCGTCTATGACAACCTAGAGTCTAAACTCAGTGAATCACCCGGAGTTGCCCGAGCGAGCGATAAACCTCAGGCCAGTTCCTCCCTTCGCACACCACACATCGGCCTTTCTGATTCCAGGAGGGAATGAATGTTTACTTAGCCGCGGAGGCTGTTGGTGAGGCCTTGACTTTGTGGAAGCCTGTATCCCTTCCTGTCCGTTGCCCTCTCGGGCTGCCCTGGGGAAAGTGGCAAAGACAGAATTGTTTGAGCAGCGCGTTGCTGACACAGAGCTCTGACTGACTTACTCCTCTTTCCCCTTTTCTAAATGCACCTTCCACCCCAAGAGTCAGGGACCTCCTGGCAAGGGGACAAACCCTTGAGTGGTGCTGGGGTCTGTGGTGCCCACGCTGGAAAGGCAAATGGCCAGTCAGACCTCAGGGTGTTGGATAAGTAAGTCACCCTAGGTTCTAACTACTTTTTCTTTTTCTTTTTCTTTTTCTTTTTTTTTTTTTTTGGTACGGGGGGATCGGACTCAGGTCCTTGCGCTTGCGCAGCAGGCAGCAAAACCACTGAGCTAAATCCCCGGCAAAACTAATTTTTCTTAACCAGGCAAGTAGTGTCTAACTCCGTGGGCTGGGAGGAGGCATCATTAGCGTATATGAAAGGCCGGTAAGAGCCAGGGGACCAGGAGAGGGGAAGACAGTGACCCTCAAGAGGGAAAGATGAGTGGTGGTCTCAATTTGCCTTCCAGCTTCGTGAGCCTCTCTTCCGGACTTAAAAGTTCTCCAGAACCACAGCTTTTGCCCCTGCCTGCCCGCCTGGCTGGGCGAAAGGAGGGCTGAGTTGTTGGAAAGGGGCCGAGGGCAGGGGCTGAGCCTCGCCCTCCATCCTGCCTCTCCTCGGGCAGCTGGCTGTGGAATGTAGGGCAGTTTCTGAGCACTGTTTAGCTTCCCTGTTCACCCTGCTCCCTTCTGGAACAAGATCTGCCTTCAAAGCACAAAGCAAGTCCCTCAGCACAGGTGACCTGGGCCTCTGGGTCTCCAGGGTCCCTGTTGTGTTCCGCAGGCATTAGTCCCCCGGGGGCTGTGCTGGTTCAGAGTGGGGAGACTGGAGATGGGGACCCAGTGAGTCAGACCTTGGGGCACCGCCCTCCCCCCTGGCACAGCCAGCCTGAGCGCCAGAGGGCAGTTCTGTGGAGGTGTGCTGCTTTCTAAGACTCCAGCCGCAGCCTCCAGTGCCCCCACCTGATTGAATGACCCAGTAGGCGCGGGACCGGTGGTGAACACCCATATCCTCCAAAAACAACACTCTCGGTTCCAAGTGGCCCTGAAGTTACTGGCTTGCTGAGGAACATACTGCTGACCCCGCCCCCACTTACACCCCCCTGCCGCCCCGCCTCCCCTTTAGGCAGTCGAATTCCTACTTTGGGATGCCTGAGTGCCCTGACTCAAGGAGTCTGAGAAGTCTGAGATATTGAGGAGGCCCTGGGTGGTACCTGCCAGCCGTGGGGCGTGGCAGGTCCCTCATCTCTCTGACCCCCACTTCCTTCTACCCTGTACCCAGGAAGCAGGGAGTAAAACACCCCCCCCCCCAATGTACCCTGTTTGGAGTATTCTTCCCACAAGGCTGGTATGTGCCTTTTCTGCTCAGGAAGTCCAACTGTTTGAATCCACACTGCTGCAGAAACCACTTCTGCACCATTTTCCCTGTTCCATTTCACCCTCAGCAGAAGTGCCTTGCCATGCCATGCTCTGGGATCACATCTGTGCCTCAAAGTCCTATCTTTGCTGGCCCCTGTTACTTCTGACCAAAGATTTAAATAAATCTGCACCACCTCAATGTCCCTTCCTCTGGCAAGAATTTTTAATTTCTGAGACAGGACCGTCATGAGTGGCCTTTTTACCCACGGCTCATTAGGCATTTATCATTTTTCCTAGTGTGTCATACTTAATCTTTTTTTCTTCTTTCTTTCTTTCTTTCTTTCTTAAAACAGGCTAAATAGCTCAGGCTGGCCTTGAACTCACTCTGTAGCCTGGGGTGGCCTTGAACTCCCAGCAATCCTCCTGCCTCATCCTCCTGAGTGCTGGGATCACAGGCGTGCGCCACCATACCCGGCATAATTAACCTTCCGAATTAGGCTGTGCCTGTATTAAGAGCAAGGGTTCATCTCACTCATCCCCAGCACCTGGCACACAGCCTGGCATGGGGTAGATGTTTTCACTTGTGGAGTAGCCACTATTCTAGGGGCAGATCACAGCTCACAGATCACACCCCTACCCCAGCCTTACAAACAGTGCCACACTTATGTGCCCCACAGTGTGAGGCCTTCCGGGGCAGCAGGTAAGCCCCCCACCTGCTGGAGAAGGCCACCTCTTCTGGGCCAGCTAGCAAGGCCCTGCCCCAGAGCCCAGGGTTGGGCACTGGTGACCCGGGTCAGTTTGTCCGCTTGAGGGACTTCCCAGTTTGCCTGGGAAGCAGGTGTCCTAGGTGACACTCTCAGCTCGAAGAATGGCCTAGAGGAGCCGTGGAGTGGGAGGCCTGCTCCCTCTTCTTGAGGAGCCAGGAGCCCCTGGTCTTGCAGCTGGGCCCCAGTGGAGTGAGAATAGCTTCTCACTGAGCTCAGGGTGGGGCTCCTGGCTCCCTGGAACTCTATGCAACCTACTGGTAAATAGTTTGCATTTCACCTCTCCTTGATCCCAGGCCCTGTCTCAACTGGTTACTGTGGGGTTCCTCGGACTTCCTGCTTGGAGCAGCAGAGATTGCTTTGTTTTGTTCTTGAGAGGACTCAGGCACCACGACGGCCCTTTAAGAAGCAAGGACCCAGGGGCTGGGCCAGTTAGACATTCATTGACCACAACCTACTACCTGAATCCTAAGAGCCAAGCCTCAAAGCCAAAGGTTCAGGCATTCAGGCCACTCAGCCTATCCGGCCCTTCCAAAACCAAAAAGGAGATGTCAGCACGCAGCAAGTCTCTCTAATCTGAGAACACACTGGGGGACGAGTGTACCTGCTGTCACACCCAAGTGGCTCCACTGGCTCGCAGGCTGCTCACCCTGCTTTCCATCTCCCCTCCAGTCACTCTGCAAACCCCCATCCAGCACTGCGACATTCACTGCCTTCACCATGGCGCTCTGATCATAACACCTTCACTGGCTTCCATGCCTTTAAGTAAAAGTTCAAACTCCCTTACCCGGCTTTCAAGGCCTCTGCCACCTGTACCCAGCTGGGGCTCCTTCCTCTTCCCCACAGGAGATGGTCACTTTGGTCCAAGAAGTCCGAGGCGGCTTCCCTCGTTGCCTTCCTGTAACTTGTCCACCTTGTTCCCCAACTCTCAGTCTAGGATGCCAGCCCCTCCCCTCAGCCTCTCAGAGTACCCTCCCTTTAAGCCCTGGGATCTATGGAACTGAAGCTGGTGACCCTCTAATCTTTCTCCCTGGAGCTCTCCTCTGGCTCTCCTTTGCTGCTCTTACATCATTTGCATTGTTAATTACGTCTTTTTATTTGTTTCATAATTATTAACATATATTAATTGTACCAAATAATGGGTTTCATTGTGACATTTCCAGACATGCATGTGAGTGCGGTGATTGTATCCACGGTTCCCTGTTACCCTCGTGCCCCACTTAATTATGTCTTATGCATAATTATTCTGCCTCCCTAATTCTGTGACAGGCCCTGAAGGGGAGGAACACTAGATTCCAGGCTTGTCTTTCCTGGCAGCCCCTGGCATAGTGCTTTATATACCCAAACCGCGGGCATTAAATATTGTTGGATTGATTGGCCAAGAGCTGAGAGAGGCTATCAGCTTTCTCTAAGGGGGAGTGTGGGGCTCAGGGTCCAAGCTCTACTAACAGCAGCCCAGTGACCAGACCCCTGCTTCCCAGGGTCCCAGGCCCAGTGGCTCGGGAGATGCTAACTAGCTTGATGATACGATAGCTCACCACTATATAGCATCTTCTACATATATTTGAGGCTTGCAGCCTTATAAACATCCAAAAGGTCATTCTGATTCCATAAGGCAGATGTTATTATCTCCATTTTATAGATTTAAAAACAGGTTCATAGGGGCTGAGACCAGCCATGGATTAGAACCAATTGTTTCAACTCCTTTGGACAAAGGCTCCACTGTAGACATTCATAGACCACAACTGGCCAAGGTCAAGGCATTCATGGACCACAACTCTCCAGGGTGCTTCTCCCACCTCCTGTGTAGCCTTTACCATTTTCTGCCTTATGGCTGGTTATTTATGTCCATGTCCTGTCCCTAACTGAGGCGTAAGCTTTGAGGGAAAGATGTGTTTCTCTTGCTCATAGCAAAGCCTCACTTAACATTTGCAAGGGCACTGACCAGAGAAGGATCTACAGGGGCCTGAGGAGGATCCTACACACCCAGCAGATCTACTGTCCAGCCAGCAATGAGCCTGGCTGCTCCCATTTTGCAATGCCCCTTCGCCTTCACTGTCTGGCCCGTGGCAGGGCTGTGTGTCTGCCTTCTTTGTTCCCCATTCCTGTTCTTCTGCTGGTGGCCCCTGGCCCCTGGTGCTCACATGGACTCTTTGTGCTCTGCAGCCTGTGGCCATGCGGCCCTTCACTAGCCTCTCCATCACTCAGCAAAGTCTTCAAATGACCCTCTCCCTGCCAAGCATGGTGGCACATGCCTCTAATCCCAGCACTTGGGAGGCAGAGGCAGGAGGATCGCCATGAATTTGAGGCCAGCTTGAACTACATAGTGAGCACAAGACAGAGAGACCTTTCTCAAAAAACTAAAAAACAAACAAAACCAAAAAAAAAAATAAATAAATAAATAAAAGACCCTCTCCCTGCGCGGACCCCTCACTTAGGCTTTGAGACCACCCAACTCTTGAACCCAGGCCAGACATCTGGTGATGGAGGAACAACCAGGGGTCCATGGGGTAGGGGGCAGACATGCCCACACTCACCAAGATGGTGCCTCCAGCAGGGAGGGGCGGGCAGGCAGGACACGGCCAGCCAGCTGGCTTCGGGGTGGAGGCCAGTCCCTGCTGTTTGCAGCACTACTTGGGGATTGACTGTCTCCCTCTCCGGAAGCCAGTGGCGGGGTAGCCCGGGCTGCCGGGAATCTGGCGCGCTATTCTGGGAGTATGATGGGGCTCTGGAAGGCCTGGCAGCAGCTGAAACTTCAGCCCCTTGGTTTCCAGGCTGCTTTCCTCCCCTCTGATGAGAAGGCAGGGTTCAGTCATTACGCAGAGCTTGGAACCACTGACTTCGAGTTGGAGGGGCTTAATGGCAGTTGTGGTCATGCTAAAGTGGGCCCTGGGCAGCCCTAGGATGCACCAGCCCTCATTCTTGCTGTCACTCACAGGCCCACAGTCCTTTTTCTTCAGTTTTACAATTTGTCCCCATATCAACCCTGCTACATTAACACATTTATGGCCTTTCTGGTATAATTCTTCCCAGTTAAATCCAGTTTACGGGGTTCCACTGAGTACCTTTTATTCTTTTTCAAATTCTGCAACGGAAGCAATAAACAACATGACTTTGAATGATGAAAGATTAGAGCTGTAATCAAGCCCAACCTAGAAGAGACTTAAGTCCCCACAGTCTGGTTTTGGAGAGCCCTTCTCGGAAACCCCTGGGGTTTAGGATCCTCAGGTAGATCTGGAGGCCAGGATGGGAACAGAGCTTATTGGGGTCACATGCTGATACACAGAAAGCTCGCAGAGCTGGAAGGAGGAGTCTAAAGAGCACAGAACTTGCCTATCTGTAAAATGGGGTAAGAACCCCTGCCTGGAAGGATCACATGGAGATAAAACGAAGCCACCAACCCTGAAGGTGCTGGAGGAGCTCAGTGATTTGGGAGCTGTTCCTCTCTGTCTCAGTTTCCCCTGTGCAATTCGGAGGGAAAAAGCAGCCCACACAAATGGTGAGGGGCCTGGCGCTTGGCCATTCTCAAAATGCAGTGTGCAGCTTCAGAGTCAGTCAGGGTATTTGCTTACACAGCAGATATCTGGACCCCTTTTCGACCACTGATTCTCTATCCATAGGCAAGGAGTCTCTGCACTGGCTTGACGCCCATGCCCCCGGACTGCTTAGAGGTGTGCACTGGCATTGGGAACCAGTGAGGCCAGGCTGGAAAGAATCGGTGAAATCGGCTAGAAGCAAAGGAAGAAGAAACAGGCAAAACACCACAGGGTGATACCCCTGTGAAGGGCTCTGACCAGGTGGATGGACCAGGCTGGCCACTGTTTGGAGAACAGTGGACTTTGGAGGATGAGCAGAAGGGGACCAAGGTGAGTCCACAATGAAGCATTCCAAGAGCCGAGAGCCGGCCTTTCTTCCCCATCTCTGCCCGGCCGCTGTGGAAGGGGTGGTCACAGAACAGGAAGTTGCTGCCTGACATCTCCCTCCCCCCTTCCCTTGCTGGCTTGTCCCCTTCCCTGCGTATCTTCCAGCCCTGCCTGAAATTCTCCCATCTAGGGCCTGGTTCCACGGAGCTCAAGGCTCACTTTCTTCACGGTTGCCTGGGAGCTTCTAGATTTCTGAACTCACCCAAACCTGTTAGTTCAGAATCTATAGTTTGACAAGCACAGCAGGTAACTGAGGTCTCATAAAGTTAGAGCCACTGAATACAAATCCATTTTGGTTAGCATTTATTTATTTATTTATTTATTTATTTATTTATTTGAGACAAGGTCTCACTATGTTTGTTTGTTTGTTTGTTTTTTGGTACCGGATCGAACTCGGGTCCTTGCCCTTGCAAGGCAAGCGATGGAACCACTGAGCTAAATCCCCGGCCCAAGGTCTCACTATGTAATTCATGCTGGCCTCAAACTTGTGGTGATCCTCCAGCCTCAACCTCCCAAGTGCTGGGATTATAGGCGTGCGCCACCATGCCTGACTACAAATCCATTTTGAATAGAAGGTTAATGCTAAAAGGAGAGCTGGGAGCTATGATCAGATGGTGTGTGGTAGGAGAGCAATCATTAAATACATGTGCTTCTGGGGCCAGAGTTTCGATGGGGAGAGAAGTCTCCGTGAGCTGTGAGAGCCTGGAATCCAGTCCTCAGGGGAGAGGCCTGCAGTGAGAGGTTTTGGCCCTCAGGAGGGGGCAGAGCTCAAGGAGAAAACTGAAGTCTGCCCCAAGGCAAACCCTCATCAGCGTGTTTCTGGAGGTCAGTCCTTACAGGTTTCCTCTTCCTGGACATCAAAGGGAGCTATGTTGAGTTATTTTCTGTCAGTGTCTGGTCTTGCCCCTTCACACACAAGCTCTTCTTTCCAGAAATGGTCACACTGCAGAGAAAAAGCAAGCCAGTGACCTGAGGGCCTTGGATGTTACTATGGAACATCTTAGGTCTCGGTGGTGACCATTTGGGGAGAACTACGCCTAGTACCCTTCCTTCATGTTTTCCAAAGGGCTACACCTGGCCAGCAGAGTCATCAGGCAGCTACAAGCACACCTGGAGGTTCTTTGCATCCAATTTTCATAGGCGATATTGCTCATTCAAAGGTAAATTTCACTTGCCACTGACTTTTCTCATTTCTGCCCTATTTCCCTCCTGGTTTCATCCACAAAATGGTTCACTGTTTCCTGCTCTCAAGTGTGAGACAGGGGCTACAGCCATAAAAGGGAAAAGAGAGCAGGTACTTCTCCTAGGAAAGCCTATGGCTCCTGGGCCTCTGCTTGTCCAAGGTCATTTTGATCGGCTTAAACCACTGAAGCCGGTGCAGAAGAGATTTCTTCCCAGCAGCCCTTTCGCCCTAATACCGTATTGCATTTCAAAACAGTTGTCTTGTTCTCCTGGTCATTTCCTAACTAGGCCTGCAAGCAGCACCCTGGCTCCTTCCCTGTCCTTGGACCTGCTCTGGCATGAAATGTGATCCAAAAAGGCCCTCAGAGAAAGCCCAGCCCGCTGTCGACCTGCTTTTGTGCACCTTCCAAACAGCTCTCCTGCAGGGCATCAGGAGCTGTTTTCCCCGTGCCAGGACCGAACTACATTCTGACCCCACTGACCCCACTGGCTGCCCTCCCTGCCCTCAACACAGGGTACACAGCCAGCTGTGGACAAGGCACCGATACTAATGGCCTGTGCTAGGTAGGAATTCTAGAAATTCTATTCTTTCTTTCTTCATTTCTTTTCTTTTTTTTATGGAGTCTCACTGAGTTGCCCAGGCTGGCCTCAAACTTACAGTCGTTCCTGCCTCACCCACCCGAATAGTGGGATTATAGGGATGCACCGTTATGCTCAGCTTTGGCAGTGGTACAGATTCTAAATTCACAGGACTTCTGCCTACCTCAGCTTTCTGCTCTTGGGATTCAGTTAGAATAGGAGCACTGTTCAGGGAGTCGAGATCTAGGTTCAGGACTCAGCCTGCCCTGGAGTCACTGGGGTGTGTAGCTCTTTTCACCCTCTTGAACCACTTTCTGACCCATCTAACAACAATAAACAGAACTGTTAGAAGTTATACACTAACTTCTTGATCCCTCCCAACATTCTTTTTTTGTTTGTTTGTTTTGGTACTGGGAATCTAACTCCCGACCTTGTGCTTGTGAGGCAGGCACCAGAACCACTGAGCTAAATCCCTGGCCCCCTCCCAACATTCTTATTAGATAGGAGCAATTAGGGCCGGGGATTTAGCTCAGTGGCACCATGCGTGGCTCACAAGTGCAAGGTCCTGAGTTCGATCCTCAGTACCAAAAAAAAAAAATAGGAGAAGTTATTCTACCAACTAATACATGAGGATACTCAGAGAGGCTAAAACAATATTCAAGGTCAGTAGCTAGTTCAGTGATGGCTTACTTCAATGCTTTGTCTGATCAGGCAGGAAAGATGTATGAGTTATCTACACAGAACAGGGCATGAACATCAATGACATGCATCCTCTGGATCCAGGAGCTGAGTGGTTTGAGTGGAGGTCTGGACCAGGATGTCTTGTGGGGCTGCACTCTAGATGTTGGCCAGGGCAGCAGTCACCTGCGGGATCCACTGCATCTGCAGGATTGTCTGTTCCAGGGAGGCTTGATCACATGAAGCTGGCTGTTGGCTGGGGCTGCAGGTCCTCACTGCATAGACCTCTCCACGAGCTGCCTGTGGCCTTTCCCCAGCGGAAGTGGTCCAGACAGGCAAGGCCCACACAGGACGTCATTTCCACACTATCCTAGTGGTTACACTGGCTGTCCCTCTTTGGTGTGGAAAGGAACTACACAGGGAGGTGAAAGAAGCTGGGACTACTGGGGCCATCTTGGAATCTGGCTGTCATGGACAGTCACATGTAGCAACTTGCAGGGTAGCCAGGAAGACCAATTCACATGATAGACATAAACGGGCTCTCTGTTGAGTGTGCTGGGGCTGCTGTAATAGATCAGCAGAAATTGGGTGGCTTAAAATAACAAGAATTTATTCTCTCACAGTCCTGGAGGTTAGCAGTCCCAAATCGAGGTGTCAGTAGGGCCACACTCCCACTGAAGGCTCTAGGGAAATCCTTCCTGCTTCTCCATATTCTGGTGGCTACTGGCAGCAGTCAGTATTCTTTAGTTTCAGGGCATTGCTCTAATCTTTTTTTGGCACTGGGGATCGAACTCAGGACCTTGTGCTTTCAAGGCAGGCAGTGGAACCATTGAGCTAAATCCCTGGCCCTTCTAATCTTTGCTTCTCTGTTCACATGGCTTCATCGCTGAGTGTCTGTTGCTTCACATAGTCTTCTTTTCTTTTTTTTTTTTGGTACCAGGGATTGAACTCAGAACCTTGTGCTTGTGAGGCAGGTGGTGGAACCATTGAGCTAAATCCCCAGCCCTTCACATAGTCTTCTTATAAGGACACCAGTCCCGTTGGGTCTAGTGCCCACCCTAAAGTAGTCTGACCTTTTCTCACTTGATGACATCTGGAAAGTGCTATTTCCAAATAAGGTCACTCTGGGCTGGGGATGTAGCTCAGCGGCACAGCAACTGCCTGGCAAGCATGAGGTCCTGAGTTTGATCCCCGGTACCAAAAAACAAAACAAATAAGGTCACACTGACAGGTATCAGGAGCTGGGACTTCCGCACATCATTTTTGGGGAGCACGGCACATGCTATGTAATGTGTGGAGCCCTGTATACAGATGGGTCAGTATCATCTCCATTGAAGTGGTGCTGGTGGAAGTAGTAGTCATGGGAGTGGAGGAAAGGGTGGTGGTTAGTATGGAAGCACAGGTGGGCAATCCTTCAAGTTACTTTGAAAGTCTGTGACATCTAGGTCATTCATCCAGGCGGGGCTGCTCTGTCCCACTGAAACTTCCTCATGGTTTTCCATGGATACTGGATTCTGTCAACTAATTTGTCTTCATCCATTTCTTCCTTGGATATTCATTCTTGCCATGGTAGATCCTTCTCTAGAACTTCCTCCCCTGACTACCAGCATCTCTGATCCATGTCTCTCTCCATATTTCTGAAGCCATTATTTCTCTAAAAGTTCTGTTTCTGGGCAGAGACCTGGCACGCCTCCAAGAAATACTACCCAGCTCTCATTCCTGTTGCTCACTGGCCCCTCAACACACCAGGCACCCAGAGATGTGTGCCAGAAAAATGTGGAACTGGGAATTTTCTTCTGGCCCCACCTTTGCTTCCAGTGACCTGGGTGACCTCGCATGAGTTCCTTTGGCTCTTCATGCCATGGCTTCCTGATCTGCAGTCAGCATGTATTTTTGTGATCTAGATTCCAAAATCACACCGGGCCACTTCTGCTCGGCCCTATCAGGCCAAAGCCGGCCCTCCTCCTGAGCTCACAGCAGCTGTCTGCAGGAGTGCATCTCCATTTGTGGATGAAGACACTGAGGCTCGGCAAGCTTAAGTAATGGCCACATTATTACAAGCCAGGGCAGAGCCACAGGTGAATCCCAGAAGTGACTCCAGTGCCCATAGTGACACACGCCATGGCCTAATTCGTGTCCTTCTCCTCTTCCCTGTTCCTCAAACTTCGAAAAATGGGCCTGACTGGGTCCAAAACTGCTATCAGGGGTGGCTTGGGGACAGCAGAGATGTAGCACAGAAGCCTGTAGACAGGTGGTCAGACAACCTGGCTTCTGGCCTTGGCTCTGCCATGCCTGTTTGTGAGGAGTGTGACATCATTTCCTCCTCAATAGCAAAAGGAATGCTGCAGCATGCTGCCTTTCCTGGTTGTCATGGGTGAGAGGATCTTAACCAGGTCAGAGTGCTAAGAAAGCTATTTAATGCTCTTCAAAGAAAACATATGATCTGCCTCTGACTCCTCGAGTACCACTAACATCTAGCTGCTTTACAAATATTTGTTGATTTTAATTTAAGAGTTTCTTACCAATCCCAGAAAGAGTAGAACCATCCAGCAACTCTGCCTGTTCCCAGGGCTGATCACCAGGGAGACCCCTGGGCCAGATCATTAAACAGGAGCTGTGGATTTGGAGTTTGGAGGCCCTTGTTACTCCAAACAGCCAGCAAATACTGATGGGACAGGGGGTTTTAGGGATGAATATTTAGAGTATTCAGCATAACTCATTGTGGTGTAAATGAACTACACCAAGACTTAGTAGCTCACAGCAATAATTTATTTTGATCTCATGGGTGTGTGGTTGCTGGTGGTCTGCTGGTGGGTTCTTCCTTAGGGGTCTCCATGAAGTTGCATTAGACAGCAGCTGGGACTGTGGTCACCTAAAGGTCCAACTGGTTGGGATGGCCCAGCCAGTGTTATGATTAGGATCTGAAATGTCCCCCAGAGGCCATGTGTTGAAGCAGATGGTACCATTGGAAGGCACTAGAACCTTTAGGAGATGTAGGGCACTGGAAGGAAATTAGGTCATTGGGCATAATCCCTTAAGGGGATGTTGGGACCCTCACCTCTTCTTTCTGTCTGTGTCAGCTGCTTGCTCCACACAAGCTTCCACCATGACGTTTTGCCTCACTACAGGCCCCAAACAACAGAGCCAGCTGTCCATGGACTGCAACTTCTGAAACCATGACAAAGTAAACTTTTCCTCATTTAACTTGTTTCTCTTAAGCATTTTATCATAGCTACAGAAATCTAACCCAGCTCAAGGCTGCTCCATGTGGCTTCTTTCTCCAGCAGTGTGGCCTACACTTGTCTTGTCTTGTTTCTTCAGACATGGTCTCTATGTAGTGCAGGCTGGACTTGAACTCACTATGTAAACTCATGGTGTTCCTCCTGCTTTGGCCTCCTGAGTGCTGGGATTACAGGCATGCACCACCATGCTCAGCTGGCCCAGACTTCTTAAATGGTGGCTCAGGACTCCATGAACAGGTGGAACTCCCTAGTCCTCTCAGGGCTCAGTAGAGACCTAGCGGTATCCTGACTTGCTTCTGCCATAGTCTAGTTTAAAGCAGTCACAAGTCAGCCCAAGCTGAAGGGGGTGGAAGAAGAGACTCCCCTTCCTTATAGAGCAGTGACAAGAAGGGAAGCTAGTGCAGGCTGCCACCTTTGGAGAGCCACTACTACCCAGAACAAGAGACAATGTCCATTCCTAAGGCCCCCGAGCTGCCCAGCTTAGAAGGGTCTTGGCTGGAGAGTGTGAGGTGAGGCAGAAACTACTGGACAGAAAAGCCACCGAGCAGCCCAACCCTCCAGTCACTCAGGTGCTGTGGGTTGCTGAGGGCCACAGGACTTAGGACCTTGGGGCACCAAGGTCAGAGTCCAGATCTAGAGGCCTGTAGCTGGCCACCACCCACCCAGCCCCACCCTCATATCCTGACCACAGCTGTGACCAAGCAGTTAGATGGCTCCACAGGGGCAATTTCTTATTGTCTACTGGAAAGATTTGCAGGCCCAAGTCCTGGGGCTGACTGAATGATTCTCCCATGGAGCTGGCTGATGCTCCTCTCAGGAACCAGTCACCAGCCTTGTTTGTTTGCAGTTCTTAGGCCTAGGGGAGACGGTGCTGGGCTCGGCCAGCCTTGCCTCTCACAAATTTTTTGACCTCACCCCTATTCCTGGCTCTCAGCAGCAGCTTCCCTTACCCTGGCTCTGTACCCCTCACTTTCCAAATCAGTCCCTACCCTGCCAGCTGATTTCTCCCTTCCTTCATTTCTTTCCTTGTCCATTCTCATCCTATAAGCAGCACTGTGCACTTTTGATTGCGGTAGGCTCAAAGGACACCGGGAACCCTGCCTCAAAGTTCATATAATGTATTAGTTTCTTGTGGCTGCTGTAACAAATTACCCCAAACTAGATGGCTTCAGGTGAGAAATGTATTCTCTCACAGTTCTGGATGCAGAAATCCAAGGCCAAGGTATCAGCAGAGTTGGTTCCTTTTGGAGGCCTTGGAAGAATCCATTCCTTTCCTCTCTCCCAGCTTCTGGTAGCTGCCAGCAGTCCTTGGCATTCCTGGGATTGTAGCCACATTGCTCCGATCACTGCTTCCGCCCTCACATGCTCATCTCTTCCACTTGGACAACTATCCTTTTCTGGTTCCTATTTACAGCCCATCCTGAGTATTGTGATCTTATCTCAACCTTTATCTCGCTTCTACCTATAAAGATCCAATCTCCAAAGAAGCTCACATTCTGAGGTTGAAGTAGACATTTAAAACAGAGAGGGACACCTGTCAACCCTTTACCTGGCCTCTGTATGCTCATCCACCCGTGGCCAGAGGGTCTCTCCACCCAGATGTCGGGTCCCCAGCTGCACTCACAGGGGCTCAGAGGCAACTGCACTCTTTCTCTGCATCAAGTGGAAACAAGTTATACCAGTGGGCTGCCTGTCTGCTTGTTGTCTGCAGAACTGCCCCAGGTTCCTCACTCACTCTTATTCTTTTTTTGACACAGGGTCTTGCTGTGTAGTTCAGACTACCTTGAACTCACTTTGTAGCCCAGGCTGGCCTTGAGCTCCTGGCAATCCTCCTGCCTCAGCCTCCCTAGTGCTGGGATCACAGCCATGCATCGCCATGCTCGGCTTCTTGTTCTTTTCTTGTATTTGGCTTTCATGTTTCCCTTTGGACTACAGATAAATCTGTGTGCCCTTGTCTCAGTTTCCAATATTAAATAAGATGTGACTTAGCCAGGGGTGGTGGCACATAAGTGTTATCCCAGCAATCCGGAGGCTGAGGCAAGAGGGTCACTGTGAGTTTGAGACCAGCCTGAACCACACAGTGAGACCTTGTCTCAAAAACCAGAGAGAGAGAGAGAGAGAGAGAGAGAGAGAGAGAGAGAGAGAGAGGTGACAGCATTTTCTAACAAACAGGAGGTACCCAACAAGCAACTTAACCATAGTGGCCACAGATGTAGTCTTTCCTATTTGTGTCAGGCAATGTGCTAAGTGCATCATAAAAGTTATCTGATCTAAATCTGGGGGCCCCAAGAGGCAAGTATGGTTTTTGTCTGCATTTCTTGGAAACAAGGAGGCTAAAGTTGAGAGGGTTAAGTAGCTTAAGCTCACTCAGTCTGTAAAGTGGCAGCCCAACCCTAAGCCCAAGGTGATGTGACTAAGAATAGCAGTATCTGCTCCGTGATCCCTCTCCAGGCTTCCAGCCTGTCCTCTAGATTCCCACACCCTGGGGTGGACCACACCTTGTGTCACCTCTGTGAACCCCGCATGTGAACCTTGGTGATTTATGGGGCCATGAACATGTCCCTTGGGGAGGTAGAGTGGAACATTAATTGGCAGGTTCCTTTCTTTTCTTTTTGAGACAAGATCTCACTATGTAGCTCAGGCTGACCTTGAATTCACTATATAGCCCAGGCTGGCCTTGAACTCACAGTGATCCTCCTGCCTCAGCCTCCCAAGTCCTGGAGATTGTAGGCAAGTGCCACCATGCCCAACAGACAGGTGATTTTCTAAGGGGGGCTCTGTTCAGCAAACACTTGCTTCCTCTCCATACATGTGTGCTAAGCCCTCATTTCAGGCCTCTGTGAACAGCCAGACCCTTAGAAAACTGGAGAATCTTCTGTAGCTCCAGAGATTAGGGAAGATAGCTGAATCTAAAGGATGCTCACACCTGCCCTAATAAAGCAGGGTCAGCAAACTATACCCCACAGCCAAATCTGGCCCGCCTCTTACTCTTATAAATAAAGTTTTATTGGAACACAACCCTCCTGACTCATTGTCACATTGACTGTGTCTGCTTAAATCTGTGTGCCCCTGAATCCGGGAAGGCAGCAGATCCTCGGGCTGCTCTCTCCATCAGATGGTTCCTGTTTGAGCTTTTGTTGGGACAGACAGAGGAGAGCAGGGATTTGTGTTTGAAATCAGATAGTCTACCGGAGAAGCTGTGTTCCTATGTGTCTCAACCCAACTGGCAGACCTGTTCAGGACCAGAGCTGGGCTGGGGGCTGCAGCAGCACCAACTCAGGACCTGTGTCGTCTTTCACCCCTGACCCCAAGCCTGGCACTGGCCACCAGCTGCACCCCCTCAAGCCCAGAGTGGCCACCAGAAGAGAACAACTGGTTCCCTGCCCCCAGGTGCCCAGAAGCCCAAGAGAACGGGCAGAACTTTTGCCCCACATACAAGGATTTCTCCCTCACCCTACACCGGAAACTGGAGCCTGGGGACAGAGGCGAGTCCCTCCTGGGGTGGAGGCAAATCGCATTTGTAACGAGCTCAGCTATATTACTGTGACCTGGTTTGGAGCTGGCTGGAGGGGCCTGGGCACTTCGCTCCCTCTAGGGAGAGGCCCAGGGGTGGGGTCAGAGTGATAGCCAGAGACTGCCAGGCTGGGAACAGCAGTGATCTCTCCACACAGCCCCCTTTCCTGCTCCAGGAGCATCCTGGCTTCTCTGTGGGCTGGGACCCCTGTCACGTTCCGGATCTGAAAGGGACTCTGAGAAAGGAAGGCCTGTCCTGGGGAAACCTCAGCCACACAGGGAAATCAGAGCACCCATTGCACCTGCCAGAGGCATTGAACCGAAAATAAACAAGTACAGTGCACACGGCTCGCTCTTCGCTGCCCAGGGAAGCATGCCAGCCCCAGCTAGGCCTTGGGCACTGAATGCTGCTGAGCCATCGACACACCCAGAAGCTCGGGTGCAGCCAGTTCCTGGGGAGAGTGCCTCGAGCTCTTGCTCCAATGAGCTGCTGCCCCGTGATTGATTTTTTAAATGTGTTCTGTGCTGACTCTGGTCTGTTCCACGGGGTCCCTCTCTCTGGCACGGCAAGACCTGCCTGCTAGCTGGTCTGGCCAGATCACCAGGGAGAAACATATGTTCCGTACCTGGGAGGCCCAGAGGGAGGAGGGAAGAACCGAACCAACTCTTCCCGCCACCTCCCCTCCAACCCAGGCCCCCACCCTGGGTGATTTCACTGCACCCTCAGATTTCAGATACCCAGGGGCTCAGCCTGTTGTGCTGTGAAATCCATGTGATAAATGCTGGCCCAAGTGACTCACAACACCGGCTTTGAAGAGTAACTAGCAGTTTAGCAGGGCTGGAAAATTCTTACAGACCACAAAATGTATTATTATATCACCATATTTAGTCACTGTGACGAACATCTACAATTGATTTTTGTTGCTGCTGCCCGGTTTGGTGCTGCAGACGGAACCCAGGGCCTCCCATATGCAAAGCATAGTTTCTACAAGTCCACATCCCCAGACTTTTAGATTTTTTATTTGGAAACAGGGTCTCGCTAACCTGTCCAGGCTGGCCTCCAACTTGTGATCCTCCTGCCTCAGGCTCCTGAGTAGCTGAGTAGCTGGGATGAGTGCCAACGCATCCAGCCTTTCAGATTTTTTTTTTTTTAACGCGTATCCCCGGTGTGGTAGTGCACACCTGTGATCCCAGCACTTGGGAGGCTGAGGCAGGAAGATTGCAGTGAGTTTGAGGCCAGCCTGAACTGCACAGTGAGGCCTTGTCTCAAAAAACAAAAAAACAGATATGAATTCCTTTTATGAGTGAAAAGTCTGTAGGCTACTCAGAAGGCTGAGGCAAGAGGATCAGAGCTTTGAGACCAACTTGGGTAATTTAGTGAAACTGTGTTTCAAAATAATAAATAAATAGGGCTGGAAGTGCAGCTCACTGTAAAGCCCTGGGTTCAATCCCTGTATTAAAAAAATGAAATAAAATCACAATTGATTGAAAATGAAAATGTTAATCCTCATGACCTCCTCTCTGCTCTCTTCCTTCTTCTGTTTCCCAGAGAAGCCACTGAATAGTTTGGGCTGGCTGCATCTTTCCAGAAATGTTCTATGCTCAATCATGTGCATCTTGCAATAATCCCATGAGATGGGCAGGTCAGACTGCAGAGCTGCCAGGTTACAGATGAGCCAAAGGGGCTCACAGAAGTCAAGTTCTTTGCTCAGGTCCAGCAGCAAGGCAATGGTAGAGCTGGAAAGAGCAACCCTTCGTCCCAGGCAGTACCCACTGCTCTTGCCCCTTGGACTGATGGCCCACGGTCTCTTATCCCCAAGTAGACCACCCTGTTGCACAAGAAGAAAACTCAGAGGCCTCCTTTAATGTAGTACACAGTGTAATATTGGCACTGCATGACAAGCTCAGAGAGAACTCAGAAGTCCCATCCTTCCTGGGGTTCACAAGAGGCCAGAGCTAGGAGTCTTCCCAGATACAGAATAGGAGCTACAGCCAGGGTCTGAAGGACCACTCCCCCTTGGTCACCTCTGCTCTTCACTCTGGTGTCACGTGACAGCCTCAGCAGAGACCCAGAGGGCACTGTATTCAGACCTGACACAGATCAAGATGAACCCTGACTCCACAGTTTGAGGAAGTTTGTAGGACTAGGCATGGTGGCACATGCCTGTAATCCCAGCACTCTGGGAGGCAGAGGCAGGAAGACACATGTAAGAAGGAGGTGTGGCATCTGTGGCAACTTATTTGGCTTGATGAAAAATGTGTTTCAAGTGGAGAAGTAACATCTTGCAGGATGTACCATTTTGTTGTCAAAAAACTAGGATAAGTTGGCTTTGCAAACTGGCAGCATTTATTAGTCTGTGTATCTTTTTATAAGCACCAACTCCATCCTGAGTGAGAGAAAGCAAATTTGCATTCTTCATATTCCTCAGGCAAAATACCATCTGTTCTCCCAGGAAGCAGGTGAATGGATCTTCTTGAGTTTTCTGTAAAATTGGCATTTCTCCTCCTCCCTGGGAGCTTAGCCAGAGGTTCTACCTAGATGGATGGTGTCAAAGTCCTACAAAGAAAAGTTGGGGCATCATGAGTCTATATCTTGTCAAAACAAGTTAGAAACAAGGTTGTAACTATAGACATAAGGTGGTTCTAAAATTTCTGTGGAAGGACAAAGGAATTGAAATAGCCAAAACCATTTTGAAAGATAATAATAATAAAGTGGTAGGATTTTAAATTACACTACCCTATTTACCACTTCTTATAAAGCTACTGTCTTCAGAGAGCCAGACTTTATTTTTATTTTTTATTTTTATTTTTTGGTACCGGGGATCGAACTCGGGTCCTTGTGCTTGCGAAGCAGGCGGCAGAACACTGAGCTAAATCCCCGGCCCCAGACTTTATTTTTTTAATATTTATTTATTTACTGCACTGATAATCAAATCCAGATCCTCATACACCCTAGGAAAGCACTCTACCCCTGAGGTACAGTCCTGAGCCAAAATGTAAAAGGTTTACTCTGCAGAAGTCACTGTTAAGAGAACGGGAAGATAAGCTATAGATTGGCAAAAGACGTAATTGCATATTCCACAAAAAATTGAATCTATAATGTATAAAGAACTCAAAATTAACAGTAAGGAAACAAACAACCCAATTAAAATGGGCAAAAGACTTGAACAGACATTTCACCAAAGAGGATATGCAGATGGCCAACAAGTACTTATTTCTATATTATTCTATATTATTATCTATATTACTACAGATCAGCCATTAGAAAATGGATGTGAGAAGCATAGCACCACATACCTGCTGTGAAGTCTGAAATAACAAGACTGACAGCACCAAGCGCTGGCAAAGCTGTGAATCACCCTAAACCCACATACACTGCTGGTGGGCAGGCAAAATGGTGACCTTGGGCTGCAGACGTAGCTCAGTGGTAGAGCACTTTCCTAGCATGCAGGATTTGGTCCCCCAGCACTGAAAAAATAAAAAATAAAAAAATGGTAAAATCATTCTGGGAAACAGCTTGACAACTTTTTACAGAGTTAAACACACACATACGATATGATCCAACAATCTCAGTCCCACATTTCCCTGGGAAAGGGTTTCTCAGTTTCAGCAGTATCAATATTTTAGGCCAGATCCTTCATTGCTGTGGGGCTGACCTGGAATTTAGTGTGTTTAGGAGCATTCATGACTTCTACCCATTAGGTGCCAGAGGCACAATAAAAAATGTCTTCAGTTACTCCTGGCTGTGCCTTGGGGGACAGACTTGCCTCTAGTTGGGAATCTTTGCACAAATATCTATGGCAGCTCTAGTCATAATCACCAAAACCTGGAAACAAATCAAAAGTCCTTCAGCGAATGAATGAATAAACAAACTACAGTACACCACACAATGGAACACTACTCAGCAATACAGAGAAATGAACTACTGGTACACACAATTGAGATGAATCTCAAAGGCATTATTATGAATGAAAAAAGCCTATCAAAAGGTTATGATTCCATTTCTATGAACTGAGAATTCTATGAATTCTCAAAGGGTCAAAACTACAGTGATATCTCAATGGTTGCCAAGCAGGGTGGAGAAAGGGTGTGGTTTCCGAAAGGAGTGTTTTTCAGGGCAATAGAACTGTTCTGTATCCTGATTGTGGTGGTGGTGGTGGTTCTGTAAATCTAAATGCCAAAAAGAAAGAAAGAAAAAGGTCAGTTTTACTATTATATTAATCAGCTTTCCATTTCTGTAACTGAGTTAATCAACTTAAAAAGAGGAAAAGTTTATTTTGGCTCACAGTTTTGGAGGTTTTTGTCCAAGATCAGTTGGCTGTCCTGCCTTTGGGCCTGTGGCTGGGCCATACATTTTGGCAGGAGCACTTGGCAAAGGAAGCAGCCAGAAAGCAAAGAGAAGTGGGCCTGGTGTGGTGCCACATGCCTGTAATCCCAGCACTCAGGAGGCTGAGGCAGGAGGATCTCCATGAGTTGGAGGCCAGCCTGGGCTACATAGTGAGTTCAAGGCCAGCCTGAACTACATAGTGTGACCTAGTCTCAAAAAAAAGAAAGCAAAGAAAAATGAAAAGAAGAGGCTGGGGTCCCAGTATGTCCTTTACGGGCACAATCCCCAATGACCTAACTTCCTCCCACTAAACTCCACCTCCTGAAGGTTCCATCACCTGCCAGTACCGCCATGGGCTGAAACCAAGCCTTCAACCTGTGAGTTTTGGGGCTATATTCAAGATTCCAACTACAGTAGCTATATATGAACTTTAAAAATTAAATAAGAACACAGAAGTGGAGGCCGAATTTCAAAAGGAGTTTGCTTTCTTTTCTTTCTGGCCAGGGGCTTAGTCTTCAAATCTACTTAGTGGAGAAGAGGAAGGAAACCTCTTGTCATTTATGAATCTTTCTCCTTCCATAGTCCACTGCTGTTGGACAGTAACTTCCAGAGAAAACAAATACTTGGAAATTTAAGCAGCAAGAAGGGTGAGGAAAAGACACACAACACACACACACACACACACACACACACACACGGATCCTTCCTTCCCTGGCCTGAGTCCTTGAAGAATCTCAGGGAGCTACTCTCCCTCCATGAGACCTGGCTCAGGGGCAGGAAGGAAAGGATAGTGGGAATCAGAGAAGGGAAGGAGAGAAGAATGTTAGAAAGAACCCTCGGCAGGCTGCCAGTGGATGTAAGTACTGGAGTAGATATAAAACACTTTCTTTTTCATTTGTTTAAGAGTCCTGGGCTGCTGACAGCTCACAGTGGGGCAGGAAACCTGGCCTGTTTGGACTTGCAGGCTGCTGTTTCCTTAACGCGAAGGTCATTCAACCCCCACAGCCACCCTGGGCATGGGTAACTGTTATTGTTCCTGCTTTACACATGAAGCAACTTCTCAGTCTGGACCACTACAAGAAAACACCTCAGGCTGGGGAATTTTTTTTTTTTTTTTTTTTTTTTGGTACCAGGGATTGAACTCGGGTCCTTGCGCTTTTGTAGCAGTCAGTGAAACCACTGAGCTAAATCCTCTATCCCAGACTGGGGAATTTATAAGCAATGTGAATGTTCTGTTCACAGTTTTGGAGGCTGAGAAGTCTAAAACAGAGATTGTGGCCGACTTCTTCTCAGGTGAGGGCTAGCTCTCTGCTTCCAAGATGGCGCCTCCTTGTTGAGTCTTCACACGGTGGAACAGAGAACAAGCTCCCCTGGGCCGGTTCATAAAGATCCTAATTGCCTCCTTAAGGCCCCACCTCTCAATACTACAACAGTAGGAACTAAGTTTCAGCGTAAGAATTTGGGGAACACACATTCACACCATACCTCCCCAAAAGTCACTCAGGTAGCAAAAAACTGACCTGAAAGTTAATGCCATCTTTTTTTTTTCTTTTTTTGGTACCAGGGATTGAACTCAGGTCCTTGCACTTGCACATCAGGAGGCGAAACCACTGAGCTAAATCCCTGGCCCAGTCAATGCCATCTTCTGACAATTAGTGTCTGAGCCAGCTGGTCCATAATGTGGCCTGGATCATGTTCTAGGTGGGAATGGGAACACAGTGACAAAGCCCCCAGGACTCTCCTGCCTTAGGGTGAGGCAGAAAAAGGCATGTGACAGGGAGCCCCCAAACCTAGACTCGAGTCCTAGTTCAACTATGTACCATGTGACCTCCAAGAAGTTACCTTGCTTTTCTAAGCCTCCTTTTTCGGCGGGGTGAGTGTTGAGACAGGGTCTCTCTATGTAGTCCAGGCTGGGCTTGAACTCCTCCTGGCTTGGCCTCTAGAATACTGAGATTACAAGGGTGTGCCACCATGGGCGCAAAGCCTCCATTTCTTTTTTGTTGTTTTTGTTTTGATTTTTTTTTTTTTTGAGACACGATCTTGCTGTGTAGTTCAGGTTGCCCTGGAACTGACTATATGGTCCAAGCTGGCCTGTAACTCTTGGCAAGCCTCCTGCCTCATCCTCACAAGTGCAGGGATCACAGGCATGCACCACCATGCCTGACTAATGCTTCCATTTCTTATCTTAAAAAGCCAGATTTTCCTGAGGATTGCATGTGGCATCACAAAAGGAAGTGTTAGTAAAAATTAATAATAGTGTGAATGTAAAATGACATGGGTTGTTTTCTCCACCACCTCATTCTCTCCTGGAACTTACCTTCAACTACTGATGCAAGCTGGGTACGGTGGAACATACTTGTAGTGCCAGCTATTCAAGGAGGCTGAGGCAAGAGGATCTCCTGAAGCCAGAAGTTCAAAACCAGCCTGGACAGTACAAAAAGACACACTCTCAGAAACAAAACAAAACAAAACGCTCATTAAAAAAAACAAAAAAAACAATGAGATTGTATCATTTCCATTACAGAGCTGGGGCTCACATACTTTATATTTATTTAATTTTTGAATAGGTGACATGCTTACAACAGTTCAAAAAGATTTTGGGGAGGGAGTGTTTTTTTTCATGATAAGGTTTCTGAATGTAAGCCAGGATGGCCTTGAACTGGCAATCCTCCTGCCTCAACCTTCCAAGTGCTGGGATTACTGGTGTGTGCCGCCACCGTGGCCAAAATTTTAGTTACAAAAATATATATAAAGAAAATAGTTGTTCCTATAAAACCAAGGCAACCCATTTCTCTGATATCCATTCAGAGAAATTCCTTGCAATGCAGGAGCAGACAAGCGTGTGTATGGTCTCTCTTTTACGCAGCATTGAGACCGGAAGCCAGTCAGCCCACAGCCTTTTCAGCCCTTGACTCTGTTTTTCTTCCTCTCTCCTCTTCCTCCTCCACTTCCTCCCACTGCCTGCATGCTAGGCAAGGGCTCTACCGCTGAGCTACATACCTAGCCTTCTTTATTTCGAGACAGGGTCTCATTAAGTTACCCAGGCTGGCCTTGAATTTGCAATCCTCTTTCCTCAGCCTCCCGAGGAGCTGCCCGCATAGCACAGCCCGCTATTTTCCCTCTTTACAATTCATCTACCACCTGGTTCCATGGTCATACTTCAGTGTCTCTTAACTCTTTACTCTGCCCATTGTATCCTGTCACAGACCCAGTCCCCTAAGAAGGGTACCTCCCATCTTCAGTCATTGCTACAAACAACACCAAGGGACCATTTCCCAGATAAGTATCCATAGCTGGAAGTAGAATTGCTGGGTCAAGGAGTCTGTGCCTTTGGCAGACACTGGCGAGCTGCCCCCTCCATAGAGATGGGATCAGCTTACAGTCCTAGCAAAGCCCGAGAGTGCCTTCTCCCACCCTTGCCAATCGAGTGTGTCATCCAACCTTCTGTTTGCCCCGGCTCCTCAGTGGAAAATGGGGTCTGGAGAACTCTTTGTGTGCTTTTTGTCCCCTGAGTGAGGCCGAGACTGTTCTTAGTGCCCATCCCTACGGCCAGCCCCTGTTCCTCTCCATGCACAGCCTAAGGCCTTGGTCTTGCCCCTCATTCCCTCTGCTGAGATGGATGTGTGTGTCCATCTGCCAGCTTCTCAAAGGGCATCAGGCTCAGGTTATTTCTGCCCTGGAACCATCTGAGCTGCCAGTCCTGGGTAGACTTTGGACTCTGGCATTTCCTGTGGTGACCCAGTACCCTGGGGGTCACACTTGTCAAACCTGGGCTTCCTGGGAGAGACTGGGGGCTTGCAATTAGGGATCAGGTCAGTTATGCTTACAAACCAGGCATGGAATGGACCCAGATTGACAGGGAGAGGGGACATTTGGAAAGAATGAATGAGCAAAGTCCTAGGGTAAAGTGGCAGAATAAGAGGAACAGGCTGGGGAAGGTGGTGCACACCTGTAATCCCAACACTTGGCAGGCTGAGGCAAGAGGATTGCCACAAGTTCAAGGCCAGCCTGGGCTACATAGTGAGTCCGAGGAGTTTCAGGCCATCCTGAATTACATGGTGAGACTTAGTCTCGACAAACAAACAAACAAAAAAGAGGAAGAGGCTGGATAAAGAGGAGAAGGGATCAGACTGGGTAGGCAGAACTTTGGCCAGGCAATGGTGGGGACACCGTGAAGGTATGGGAAATTAGGGGCTGTCTTCGCTGAAACACCTATGATGCATCCACCCTGGCTCCACAGCTCACCACCACTGCAGGGTTAGGGTGAGAGCTACCTGGGTCAGAGCAGAGCTGCCCCCATTCAGGCCACTTATGTGAGAGTCCTGGAGAGACCTGGTTAACCACTGACCCTCTCTGAGGGGGATCTTGGCATCTGAGGGCCAGCCCAGGTTAGGTTGTTGTAATTTAACCTCAGTGCTGTGGTGTGCATCTAACTGTCCTGCTCACACAAGGACAGGAGGAGCCAGGGGCTGGATTCTTGGGCCCCTGGGGAATTTGCAGCCTGTGATTTCCTGACTCAAACAAACAGCACATTTGTTCTGGAAATTGCTGAGGCAGAGTCTTCTTGAAGCCCCTGGAAGGATGGCCGTGCCATTCTATAACCTTCCGGGGCATCTGACCTACTCAGAGGAGTGGGGCCTTTGCATCTCAGTGCTTTTGCAGAGACTGCAGCCTCTTCTGGGCTTCTTTACCACCTTCAGTCCAGCTTCTCCTCTTCCTGCTGGGGCTGGCAATAGCCATCAGAAATGGGTGATGGCAAGAAGTTCCTTGGCATTTGGGGCCCCACTCTGGTTTATTCCAGGGGTCTCCATGGAGGGAGCATCTGGAGCAGGAAGTGCAGGTGGAGCTCCTGCAGTCAGCTTCTCTGTCTTCCCAAAGCCACAGTATGAGGCAGGGTTTTCAAGAACTGCAGCCACAATATTCTCTTCCCGTGCTCTCTGGAGGAAAAGTACAAAAAGTTGAGGTTGTCCCTGAGGCCACCAAGAAATGCTTAATTGCTTTCTGAGAGAATTGTCACCTCCTTCTGGCTTTCTCCCCCCTCCATTGCCCCTCTGCACCTCTCTGCCAACCTCTGGAGGCTCTGGCTTGGAGAATTGGGGCTGAAGACATGAGCTCCTTGGCTTTGTCCCAAAGTAACCACGAGCCATGTGCTGAACAGCAGCTTGCTTCTCCAAATTTACTGCTGCACTACCTTTGGTGAAAAAAGAACCCTATGTGTGGGAGAATAAATGTGCATTTTGCTGGGACCAGGCGCCCATCAACAGCAGATGGATGGTGGCCCAGGCTGGCTGAGTCAGCTAGACGTCAGAGCAAGCAGACAGTGTGAACCAAGACAGGCATGGGAGCCGGCCAGGGAAAGTGAAATGCAGGGTGAGTTGGAGGTTTTCATCCCAGGAGCTTTATCAGCATCTTGTGCACCTTGATTTAGGTAGAAGGCGAAGCAGAGGTATGAAGCACAGGCTAAGAGGCAATAATAAACAACCCCCCAGATATATAATAGAATTTATTTTTCTCACACAACAGAAAAAAAGCAGTTGTTCCTAATTGGCTAGTGACTTTTCTCCATATGGTGATTCAAGGACCCAGGCTCTGTTCATCTGGAAGCTCCCTCTTTCCCTTAGGTCTCACTGTCACTTATGTGTTGCCCGAAGAAAAAGAAAAGTGTGGAGGAGGCACACTTCCCTCTTACAGCCTTGGCTCAGAAGTAGTGTGCTCTCTCTGGCTCACATTCTAGCGATGGGAATTTGTCACATGACCACTCTAGTTGCAAGGGCAGCTGGGAAATGTAGTCTTTGGTCCTCCATAACAACTCTATACCGAAAGGGTGAGGAACTTTGGTAGACAGCTAAGCATCTCTGCCACAGTAAGAAATCAAAACATTTAAATCAGGGAACCAAAAGAGAACAATTCATTCTAAGTCTAAGGATAATTTGAAAGTAATCTGGGTCTTCAAAAAGGAAGTCCTGAGCTCGCTTTGGCGGCACGTATACTAAAAAGGAAGTCCTGCCTAAATAATTTGGCTAGAAAAGATTTTGCATTGCCGAGGATTAGCCAATCCAACAGTATCAGAACTGGGCAGAAATATAGGACAAGGCAGGGTGCATGGTGGTACACACCTGTAATCCCAATACTCGGGAAGCTGAGGGAGGAGAATCATCATGAGTTCAAGGCCAGCCTTGGCTACATGTTGAGTTCAAGGCCAGCCTGAACTACCTAGAAAGACCCTGTCTCATAAGAAAACAGAACAAGATGTATATATGAACGTTCGCAGAGAAGCAAGCATCTAAGAAATCTGTATGGTTAGGCCTAAGAAACTGGGTTCTTCCCCTGAGACTGGTCTATCTATAACTAGTTTGCACAGACTTGGGGCTCCAGCCTAATCAGCAGCTTCTGCCTCTGGCAGTGATGGGTTTCACAAGACTGCTACTTCTGTGGGGAACAGGGTGCTGGATGAGGGTGAAATCCAAACGCTGCACTCCTCCTCCCTTGGTGTCAACAGACATGCTGTAGAAACTTCATTGTCCAAGGATCTGTTTTAGGTATAATTGCTGCACAACAAATTACTACAGTTTAGCAGCTTAAAACATCACCCACTGAAGAGCTTCCAGTTCTGTGGGCTAGAAGTTGGGGGCAGGCTCCCCTGGGTCTTTGCTTGGGATGTTCCAAGGCCAAAATCAAGGTGTTGGCCTGTCTGATCTCCCACTGAGGCCCTAGGGAAGAATCCACTTCCAAGTTCACTTGGGTTGTTCTCAGATCCCAGTTCCTGTGTGGTTGGAATGGAGTCCTTGTTAACTGTTGGCCGAGGGTCTCTTGGAGCTGGAGAGGCCACTCTCAAAGCCTTTCCACGTAGGCCACCTTGCAACATCCCCCCCACCCCTCTGACCGCCGCATCTTTAGGTGCATCAAATTCTTCTCGTTCTTAGAATTTGACTTGCCCTCTGCTGCCAAAGACTTGGTCTGCTGCACAGCCAAATAATGAATAACCCAATTAGCGACCTTAATCAGATTGTAAATATATATATATATATATATATATATATATATATATATATATATAGCAATAGAGTTGTGGGAGTAACACCCAGGGATAGATAGATTATGGAGACTAAGAATTCTGCTTTTTATGGTGCCTGAGGCTTTCAGTCTGGAACCCAGGGTGGCATCCTTTGCAGCTAAAGTGACTTTGTGTTCTGACCGAAGAGCTGCCCATTTGGTTCTACCCAACCACTGGGGGGCAACTAACAGGCCTACCCCCAGCTGCTGCCATACAGAAGAATCTAGGAACAGACAGGTAATGTCACCTCCCCCTTAACCTCCTTTCCCTCATGGAAACTGGACCTCCACAGGAAGAGGCTCAAGACTGAGCAGAGCACACTGACCCCAAGAGAAATACGCCTGGCCCAGAGTTCAGGGAGCCTGCCTCCTCAAAGCCCGGATGTGCCTCCTAACACCTGCTTGCTCTGAGGGAAGGGCAGGCCTGGGGAGTGTGACTTCAGGATGTGGCAGCTCCCCGAGCATTCCCTGGCCCACCTCCTGCCACGCGGATGGTGCCCAGGCCCTGACTTGTCCCATAGATGGCCTGACACTGAGGAGGGCAGGGGAGAGGTGAGAAGGAAGACTTTTCCAGCCTCCAGCAACCGCCTCCATCTCTTGCCTGGCTGCTGTCTCCCAGATTCCTCGAGGGCCTGCCTTTCACATGTCTCCGGGGCTTTCCTGAGCACGCTCCCAGCTCCTTCTGAGGCCTGCTGCCTCAGCTCCCCGACCTGGGACTGTCTCCTTTGGAGTTACACAGGAATGTCGCACCTGCAGCAAAAACCAATAAAAGGCTTCCTCAGCTGCAGGGCATCTCCCCTGGAGCTCAGCAGTGCAAAATGACCCTCTGTGTTGCTCCCTCTCCTCCTTGCCCCAGCTGACTGATGTCTCACTGCCCCTCAGACTCCACCCTGGGCTTCCCTCTTTGTTGGTGAGCTTCAGGTCCCGGGGGGGGGGGGTTGAAGAGGGGCTTCTCTTGGCAGGCAAGCACCCAATTGTAGTGCTCCCACTGGAAGCCATCTGATCCTGTGCCTTTCCTTTCCCTGGGATGCTGTGGAAGGCAGCAAGAGGTGTGGCAGATTCTCGGCAGGCACTAAGGCTGGGGTCCAAAGGGCCCAGGCAGCCCCCAAACTTCTATGGAACCCAGACACTTGACTGCAGAGCCAGCTGGATGGGATTTAGCATAGCCAAGGCAGCAAGATCCACACCTGAGCGTGTCTGCCCTTCCCTGTAGTTCCAAGCCAAAAGGAAAAGTATCAGATACACCAGATGGCTTGTTGTCCTCTGCATCCCATACATATGGATCCTAATGTCTGTTTGTCAGGCTGGTGTTAGGCACTGGGAATCTGACAGTCAGCCCACAGGCTTGGCTGGACCATGGTTGGGAGGACGCTTTGGGGAAGATAAGGCTGAAAGGTTGGGAGCACAAGATGCCCAGGGAAGGCCTGGTTGAGAGGTCCGGATTTGTCCTAGGCCCCTGGAGGGCCCTATGCAGTGACAAGCCCAGAATTGCTTCAGGAAAAATAGTAAGTCTCAGACAGGAGGGAACTTGCATTTGGGATCTTGGAGAGGTGACAGAGGCCTATGGGCAATGACCCCCCACATAAGCACCAATAATCCACTGTAATGGAAACTATGTGTGTCCTTTGCCTGATCCGCCTTGGCTCCTAGCAGGTGCCCAAAGAGAGGTGTGACTCGAAAGTCTGCTGGTTTTGCATTTTCTCATCTTGCCCCTTCTAAGCTCTTTGGCTTCTAGACAGGCATCCATCCCCTTCATCCCCTTGTGACTCCTTCTTGACATCCGCAAGCCCCTACTTTGTCCCTGACCTCTTCCTGCCCAGCCACATGACATTTTTTCCCCTTAGCTTTCCAGGGCCCAAGTCCATGCTGGACTCGTTTCTGGAGAAAAGAAGGAAGAGTGGATGCTGGTGATAGAAGGGCACAGAGCCGAGCTGCCCCAAGCTGCGTGTGGGACCCCTGCCTACCCTGTCTCCTGCAGCTGCATGATGGTCATCGGAAGGGCCATGACTGGGCAGGAAGGACCTGTCACCTCCCCTCCCTGGACTCCTTCCTCTGCTGCACAGCACCAGGTATAACGGGAAGGTTGGAGACAGTTTTATCAGGTTGTCACCACTCCCCTGCTCCATGGCCTGGGGAGGTGTTCAGACAGCAGAAAGCAGAACCCAGCCCTTGGAAAAATCAACAACCACACCTGTTGCTCCCCAGATATCTTCTTTCTTTCTAGGTGTGGCCCTTTATCCCTGGCTCATACTTGGGGGAACCGGAGGGTGGGGTGAGAAGCAATGGGAACCCTACAGCTCACTCACACAGAGGCCACATTCAGAAGTGGTTTCTTCCACTTCTTTTTTGAACAGAATCAAGGTGCCACCTACACCTATCTGACTAGCGCTCCCCAGGGCGGTCAGCCTTAATGCTGGCCTCCCTTGGGCTCCAAAGAATCTGGATCACAATAACAATAGATAGGTTTAGATTTCCAGGCCAGTGTCTTGCTCCGCAGATGTAGAAACTAGGGCTTGGGGACGGATGGTGATCCAAGGCCACTAGACTACTCCAGGACACAGCAAGACTGGCAGACAGGTCACCTAGCACCCTCTTCCTTGGCGCCTGACACTTGGCCACCACTGGGTCCCTGTAGTGCAGGTCTCCCTAACCGTAAATCCCTACTGTACAAATGCAGTGGAGTCCTGGGAGTCACACCAGGGATAGAGATGGAGACCACGGGCCCATCTTGGAATTCTGTTGGCTGCAGTGCCTCAAGCTTGTGTTCCTCCCCACCTGGTTGGACCCCCCAGGCCAGCTCCTGGGAGGACAAGTCCTCCTCCACAGACTGCCCCTCCCTGCTTGGCGAGACCCAATCCCAATCTCCAAAACATGGAAGCAGTGTGGTTTAGGCTCCCACTGAGGGTCTGAGATTCTTTCGGGAAGCCAGAGAACAGGTGGCTGGGAGCATGATGGTTCATTTTTTTTTTTTTTTTTTTTTTTTTGAGACAGTGTCTCCCTATGTAGTCTAGAATAGCCTTGAACTCACTCTGTAGCCCAGGCTGGCCTTAAACTCTTGGCTAGAACTCCTGGGTGCTGAGATGGTAGGCATGTGCCACCACACCCAGCAAGCATGGTGGTTCTAAACACAAGTGTTTCATCAGCCTGGGTTTCCACTCTGCATTGTTACTGGTTCCCTCATCAGCAGCATAAAAACTTGTATTCATTCATTGAATAACTATCTGTTGGGGCCATACTGAAAGTAGCAGGGCAGGAGTGGAGGCCAGGGGACAAAAATGAACCAGACATGCATCTTGCCACTGGAAGCCTGAGGGTCTGGTGGAGAAGTAAAGAGATGGTCCCAGAACCAGTGGGTCCTTGGCCAGGTTCTGAAACTCACTAGTTCTGTGACCTTAGCTAAGTCAGATGACCTTTCTGCTTCCTAATTTGCTTGTCTGAAAACCTGGGACGACTTTCCTAGGCTGAGATGAGACTGACTACCCAAATGGGCTTGGCTAGACCAGACAGAAAATGAATCCTGGCCAGGTGCCATATTGTATGCCTGTAATCCCAGATACTTGGGAGACTTTGAGGCAGGAGAATCTCAAGTTTGAGGCCAGCCTGGGCAATTCAGCAAGACCCTGTCTCAAAATAAAATTTAAAAAGCTGGGGATATAGCTCAGTGTAGAGCACCCCTCAGTTTGATCCTCAGTACCTCTCCCCCAAATAGAACTCTGACCTTCCAACTACAGCACCCAGTGCTGGAAACCAGCTCTTTACCTACAGCTGGGCAAGCAACTCAGACAGCCGGCCTGTTACTACGGAAACCAGCCAAAAAGCCAGCCTGCAGTCTAAAGTCAGACTTACAAAAGTCAGTCCATGAGCTCTAACAGCTGGCCCAGGAAGCCAAACAATCAGCCAGCAGCACACAGCACAGCCTGCCAGCCTTGATTTATGACAGACAGTTTGCCTCAGCCTCACCTGTTTCCAACTTATCCTCTTTTCCAAGCAAAAGCCAAATATGTTCCTCTGGCCAATTAAATGGGGTGTCCCGCGTCCAGGTAGCTGCCTCCTGATCCCTAGGCTGGAAGCCTCCTGCCAGGCACACCGGAAATGGTCTCCTGTCCACTCTGAAGCTCTCCCCGTCCTGCCATGGCATCACTCCTGAGCGAGAGTCCTTGTTGGTTGGATGGTCTTTGTTTACTTCCGTGCTGGGATCAGAGGAGGGAGGCTAAGCTGGTTAAGAGTCCAGAGGCCCCCGAGCGGGGTGGAGCTCAGTGGGAGAGTGCTTGTCTATGGTGTGCAAGGCCTATGTTCGATCCCCAGCCCTGGGGAAATAAAAAATCCAGAACCCTAGGCATTAAGGAGAAATGATCCAAGGTCAGGTCAAGAGGAGGTACCCAGAGATGGGGAGTGGTGTGGGGCTCTGACACCACTGCCCAGACGTGCTCCAGGCCACTGGGCTGAGCTCTGACACCCTTGGTGGTTTGGGGCGGCCTCTTCACATGCAGCCATGTGAACCCCATAAGAACAGCCACGGAACCCCCGTGGCCCTGGAAACAGCAAGCAAAGGGAGAATGAGAGGGTGAGGCCGGGTCCCCAGACCACCAGGATGGGACCTCTCTGCCCCACTCAGCCATAGCTGCTCTGCAGGCCGTGTCTGGGTCCCTGTCCAGAGCCCGGAGAGATACCCGGGAAATCCCTGGACCCAGGACCAACCCCTGGGGTTCGGGTGATCAGCAAGGGGTGCACAGCATCCTCTCCCACCTCCAGGTTGCTTTCACACCCTTCCTTCTTCCCAGAAGGAGGAAGTGGGTGAAGTGGCCCACAGCCACCGCTCCGACTCAGGTGCATGAATGTTGGTTCCTTCGCCGGCTTTGAAGTACTTTCAATAGAAGACACCAAAAAACCCTTCTGCCCTCTCCCCACTGGCTGCTCCAGAGCTGGCTGTGTCCCAAGTGGAACTGCGGCTCCGAGAGTGTGGGCACCCGGAAGAACAAGGACTCTTCCTGTCCAAGGACCCCACACGCTGCTCCCTGACCCAGGTGCCAGCTGCTCGGTGTGGCAGGAGTCCTTGCAGCTGGCCCTGCCCAATCCCTGGCACCACGGAGCTCTTTACCCAGCCTCCTGTCCATGGTCCCTCACATTCCCGGGAGACTGGGTCACTCGGTCCTTCTATGGACAGAGGGCACCCGCGCCCCCCAGGCCCTTGAACTGCTCTCTGCTCCTAAAGCCAGCTCAGGACCC